CCCGCCGCTGCGGGCCCTCTGCAGCTGCGCGCACTGCGTTGCGCGCCGCAGCTCCGCGCTGGACAGCGCTGCCCGCCTCGGGCGCCGTCCTCCTGGCGCCTCCTTGCTCGTGCGCAGCGGCTCCGGCTGCCGCTGGGTTGCTGGGTTGGGGTCCCTTCTTTGGAGGAGATTCTGCTTTCCATGATACCGCTTATGATTCCGCTGGAAAGGGAGACGAGCCGAGTGTGAAGTGGTTTCCATGTGGCTTAGTTTGGAGACCTCTGTCAAGAAGCTGCGAGTTTATGCTGAGTTTGCAGGGCATAAAATGGAAGAGTTGAATGTTTGATACGAGGTTATCTTCCCTGGCAGAAATATTCACCAGGCATTTGTCATCAGCGCACCCTCTGCGTGTTTGGGGATGCTCTTTTTCCCTTTAAAACCAAAGCCTATTTCGGTGGTCCTGGAGGCAACTTTAGTTCAGATACTAACAGAGACTGYTTGGTTTGCTTCATACTTACTGCACAGCTTGTTTTTTTTGCCTTTTAGCTCAAATGTGTAACTATTTTAGCTATTTTATTTTCACAGTGTCTTTCACTGATTTGAACACTACCATTTGCTTTATGGTTTTTCTTCCATCCATGTATCCTCATATGTAATTGCACTTTTTAATGAGTTACAGGCCTCACAGTTGCTTTTGGCCCCTTAAATAGCTAGGAGGTGTGTGACGTTTGGCTTCCCCTACTCATCTTCTCTCCTGGATTGCCGYGGCGAGAGGGAGGAAGGGCCGCCCTGCGTGAGGTGGCCTTGCGGGATCGTGTCTCCTTGCTGTGCTGTCTGCAGAAAGCTCCACATTGACACCCTTGTTTGCGCTGACGGGATGCGTCAGTCTGGAAGGAACAAAAGACAGATGCAGTCATTTTTTTGGGGGGAGTTGGRTCAAAATATGTATTTTTGTTTGTTTGTTTCTATGTGTTCTTGGCTCTTTCTTGCTCTTGCAGGCTGGAGGGAGGATTCCAGACTGTTTGGCTGTAGTAAGTGGACTTAATGAATGCAGAATTGGCCACCTTACCCCCTTTACCCAGGGCACAGGATGGGGTTAAAGCTGCTTCTGGTGAGCCCTGAGGTGAGGTGGCCTCAACGGGCACTGAGCAGCCCCCATGCACAGGCGGCCTTGGTGGGCACTGAGCGGGCGGCCCCTGTGCACATGGGTGGCCTCGGTGGGCACGGAGTGGCCCTCGCACACGGGCAGCCTCGGCAGGTGCCTTGGGCCTGGATCTCCCTGCCGGGGAGTGCTGGTCCCTGCCCGCCGTGGCCTGTCCTCCCGGGCGCCCTCCTCACACATGAGGGCCCCTCCTGCCTCAGCACCAAGAAGGCCGTGTCGGGGTGCTCGCAGCCTGCATGGAGGCCACATCCTCCCCACGGGTTCAGTGCTGCCCTCGCAAGTGCCGGCACTGCGGCAGCCACGTGTCGAGTCCCTCGCTGACGAGTGGGAAACCCAAGCGCTCCTGTCCCTGGAGAGCTGAATGCAGTGTCATCTCCAAGGGCTGTCCTTGGAGGAGAGGGCTCCTTCATTGCGCTCCTCAACGCCCCTGTGCCCACTGCAGGGTTAATATTTCTGCCTCAGGGCGAGTTCATGGGTGTCCATGCCTGCCCAGGCTCTGCCCAGGGCTGGAGGTGAAACCAGGTGGAAGCTGCTTCCCACCATCCAGGGATCCGGGATGCGCCCGGGTGGGAGCCACTTGGCTGTGATCCCTGTGAGGGATCCGGGATGTGCCCAGGTGGGAGCTGATCTCTGGGAGGGATCCGTCTTGCCGGATGAAATGAGTGGCATTGGGAGCCTTCAGCGTGGCTCAGGTCAGAGGGGGAATGTTCGCAGTGCGGGATCCTGATTTGTGTTCAGGACTAGGAAACAGCTGCCCTGGGACTCGCTGAGCAGGAGGGAGCGGCCGGAGTGCCGCACTGGCCGTGTCTGCCCGCTCGCTTGGCCCTTCCTGCCATGGTTGTGGGCAGCGCTGGCAATGTATTTGGGAAGGGARGGATAAACTGCGTTACTGCTATTTAGGACTGTAGCTTCTATAAATTATGGCTTCGACAATCACCAGTGCTTATTTCCATAATCATGATCCTCTAATTTCATTAAGTAATGTCTGATTTAAATTGTCTTATAGGAGCATCATAATGTCTTCATTTTGTCACTTTTTCAACAGCAGCTTTGAGAATGAGTTAAGAAAATGGGGATGTGCACTTGATGTTAAAGACTGTAAGAGAGAGGGGTTGGGTTTTTTTGTTAAAAGTTTTATTAAGTTGTTCAAAGTTTTATTATATATTTAATTACCTAATTATTAAATAATTATAAAAATATTTATTAATCTCTCAGTTAATCTATCCACATTAATACTGCTTTTTATGAGAATAAGGTATATGAAAATTATTCTGTTCACACATCTATATAATATCAAGAGCAGGTCAAAGAAGAGTGTGTGTGTGTGTGTATATATACATTATATGTATTATAYATATATATGAACTACCTTTTTTAGAAAAAAAGATACTGAATATGAAAGTCTTATACTCCTGAACTGTAGAGCAGTTACTACAGATGAAAAGAAACATTAAGAATACAAAACTGTGAGGATTAAGGAAAAGAAGTATTCAATAAAAGGCAAAATAGCTTTAAAATGCCTGGTTTTATTTAAAACATTTTCCTTTTTTTCTCCTACCTCAATGAGGTTGAGGAAGTGGAAATAATTCTATGTCTTTATCAAACAGTTATTCTTTATGAAAAAAATACCGTGCTGGAAATGTTACGAGGCAATAGATTCACAAGGAGTAGTAAGAACTATTACAGCTGGTGGAGGAGGCAGGGCTGCCGTGGTGCTGCTTGCTTGGTACGCGGCCTCAGAAAGTCCAGCTTTTCTTTTTGTGCTGTTTCTGTCCAACGGTTGCCCCCTTCCCTGCCCCTCCTCCCTCCCCCATCCTGGGTATCACAGGATTTAAGCCAGAATGAATTTACTGCTTGGTAGGTCTGAATTAAGATAAGAGCCTGAACCTCCGTGAGAGGCTATTTTGAAGCCTGGCCCAGGTTCTCGTGTCGGTGTTTGCACAGCGGCTCGGAGTGGCCTCCTGCCACGGCCGTGCTGTGAAGCAGGGAGCTGCGCGAGGCCACCGTGCCGTGCTGTCCCATCCTGTGCCGTGCCGTCCCATCCCATSCCATSCCATGCCATGCCCTGCTGTGCCATGTGGCGGTCCTGCCTGTGCCCTGGAGCCCTCACGCGGGGCTCAGCGTGCGCCAGGCACTCGCGCTGTGCTTGCACGGGAGCCGCCATGCAGCCTTCCCAGTGCTCCCGTGGGGTACAGGATGTAGAATGCAGCCTGGCCGCTCTCCAAAGAGTCAAAAACCAACGTGAAACTGGCAAAGGGCAGTCTTTAAAGATCTAAGGCTCAGAGAGTAAACCTTACTAGAAGAGCAAAGGAGTCCTCCTATTTCTGTTTTCTTTGAAAGTCAGGTGTAAGATGGAAAATTGGGACCATTTTTCTTAAATGAAAATATACGACTTCAGTATACTTGAAAATCCATATTGTATATTACACCCTAACTAACGTTTTGCTGCTTTGATTGTGAGCAGTTATCAGAAAAAACAGTTTCTGCTGAAGAAACCCTTGTCCTCATTATCGGAATAGCGGGTACAAATAGCGTAGCATTAATTGAGGAGCCAGGAGTGGGGACAGTTTTAGCCCTTTCTGGCACTAGGTGGATGAGACGTTTTCTGGTCTCCAAACTCCAGTTCCCTGGTGGCATCATCAGTAGATGCTGAGCAAAATCAGGGTGGGCTGCTGGCAGGTGAGGGTGGTTTTTAGAAGCACAGACATGTTAGACAGAGGTGTCCTGATTTAAACATTAAACTTTTGAGTAAAAGCCTGTTGAGAGTTACACCGTACGGGAGTTCGTGTGAAGCCCTGTGTTCACAGTAAAGGCCGCAGTCCTGTTCTCAGCCATGCATGAATTGAGTGACTTGCAGCAGGTGCCGTTGAGCAGAAGAAAATTGAAGCCCTGTACTGAAACGGAGCAACTCAGAGACAGCATTTTGGCAAACGTGTGTTTGTTTCCCAAAACCAACTGCTGGCATGGGGTTTGGGCCACTCATCCATCAAATAATGATTGCAATTGAGGAAATGCCACATTTTGTACTTCTCCAATTCTTCCACTTATAACATCTTTCAGTTGTTTAACCTGATGCACTTGTTAAAATTCCAACTTTTTTTTTTTTTTTTTTTTTTTTTTTTTTTTTTTTTGTTTGTGGGGAAAAATAACACGGTGCTGCTTCCCCTGTGGGAAGGGCCGTAACCGCCCTGGCTTTGGTCATAGTTCATTCTGCCTCTTTCCTTCTCCCCTGCTTTTCTCTCCTGCCTCCCTTCTACTGCTCACTTTATCTTTCTTCCAGATAAGAAGCTTCTTCCAGGGTAGCAATCTTTTGTATCAAAATGTATCATACGAAGTGTGTAAAAATAAATAAATAAATAAGCATCCAGGTAGTTTCAAAGTATAATCAAAACTTTTTAAGATTAAATCCAATCTTCAGGAACTTTCCATCTGGAGAGTTTGGGGGCATCTCTTGGCTGCTTTGTGACTGCAGATCTTTCAGTTAGCTGCCAATACCCTAGCACTAGGTGGAGCTTTAATCTACTTGYACTTGGAAGTTATTGCTAAATTTATCCACAAATTAAAAGTAAGGAAGAATAAATAAGGGTTTGATTCCTGCTGTAGCATTTACAGCATAGTGTCCTTTCGGGATCAGTGTGATATAAATGATAACTTAAAATACTGCAGCAGAATCTCCTGGATCCATTACGTGGCTCATAATGATACTTTCTAGCAGCTTTTCTATTATATTTTCAAGTTTATGGAAGGAATTGCTGTATATTGGATGTACTAAAGATGTAATGTGTTCTGAATCTAAAAATCAGGCTGTGTGAATACAGGTAATTCTGTTTTCTGTTTGTATTTCAGAATGGGTGGGGGTGACCAAGCCTTCTGTTTGCTCCACTCGTTCAGTAATTTCTATTTGTATTTTTACTTCATGTTATCAAAGCCAGAGATTTGGAATCATCTGTTATCAGTCATTTTATTTTTTTTTTCTCCATGTGTTACCCTTGAAAATATTGAACAAATAGAAACAAATAGAAAACAACTTTGAAACTCAGGTCSTTAATACTCTTCGTTTAACAAGCATCATGTGTGAGAGGCTGTGCAGAACATCTCTGAGAAATTTAAGACCCTCTCTACCTTCTGCAGAAATAAATGGATTTAGGATTGCTTGAGGATGCCTATATACTTGCCAGCAAACGACTGGTCCTGTCTTGTCCAGCCCTGAGCTGTCAGATTGTGCAATCAATTCCTACCTGGTATCCTCGATTTCTTTAACAAATGGCCTAATATGGTAAACCCAGAAGTGTGGAGGGAAGGGATCGTAGAGCAGCTCATGCTCTGCACGGGGTGGGTGATAACAGGAACGATGGCGCTGTCCTGCTCCAGATACAATCCTGCGGGGCCGCTCGCTTTTTATCAACAGGGGCTCCAGACGTATCCCAGGATAGAAACTTTGCAGGAAACTTGACATGCCTGCACTAGCCCTGGAAACACTTCTGCTAAAATGGGAAGAACTCTGCTATTCAGAAAATGGCTGTTGTGTGTGCCACTGTAGCACATTGTTTGAATATGGGAATCTGATCGCGATATTGGCCATACTTTGTGTAGAAACAGCAGAAGCAGCTTACAAAGAAAGGCCCTGCTTCGAAAGCAATGTTAGGAGCGTGCTCCATTGCTGGTTGGATTTAAGCTCTGTGGCCAGATTTTAAAATGTGTCTAAAGTGTTCATTCCTATGGAACTCAGCAGGAGTTCAGTGCACAGTTATGGTCAAAGTATATATTCCTGTGAGGATGTCACAGCATTTAGTCTATAAAACGTCATTAGTGCCGTTTGCAAGGGGGCAGTTGTCTTCCCTTCAGGACAGAAGTTGCAATACCCAATTGCACAACTGCCTTTGGAGGGTGGTGAGGATTTTTCATTCCTGGAGGAATCACTGACACAGGGCATAACAAGGGTTAATGACCTTATTTGTTCATATTTCCACTTCTCTTTACAGAAGTGGCTAATATTGCTAAGGATCAAGATGTGCTAGGGCATTCTGTCCTGTGCATAGCAGGTCCTCTGCTGCTACGGATGTGGACTTGCTTCTTTGAACGAGTGGAGGCAGCTGGCACGGGGCCCTTAGTGCCACTGTGATTACATAAAAGCATCTCTAGAGAGGTAGGTGTCAAAAGGCTGCACAATCACAAACTGATTTTTTTTTTTCAGATGGTCTTTTCCTCATTGTCCCACGTACCAATTAATGTGGCTGGACAACTCTACATGTTTCCTTGCAAGTGGAAGAGAAGATGCTCCTCATTTTCAAAGAGGGGTATAGGATTTACCTACAAAGCTTCCGCTGACCTCTGGTTTGGAAATATTTCCCCTTTCCTAACTGTGGAAGTTGGATTTTAAATTCATATAAACATTCAAATAAATAGTTGAGAACTCTGAGGTTTGGATAGCATCTTGGCAAGCAAAGAAAGGAAATTGGCTCAGGGAATGCAGAATGCAGGATTCTGCAGGGACATAGGACTGATTGGTTTACATAGACTATGGCAGCAGGACCATATTTATACAGAGATATATACATATATATATATGTACACAACACTGGTTGTTCTGCTTTTAATTGTTGATAAAARTATGGTTTATGCCATACTTTAGTAGATGTTAATTAAGAAAACGTGCCTGATACTCCTTCTTTGAACCCTCTTCATTAAGGCTTTGGGTAGGGAAGATTTCTGTTTGCATGGAGAAGGATGTAGATATCTGCAGGCAGGACAGTGAAACAGATGCTTAACTGAAGTTGTAACATGCCACAGAAGAATGGTACGGAGGAGAACGTTGAGTGAGAGAGTGTGAAGTTCTGGAAGGTGAGGGCTGCGGAGGCCCCGGGTACTGATCCGCTGCTCTTGCCCGTTGCCAGCGCTCCGGCGTCCTTGTGGCGCWGCCGCAGCTTTGCGTTGCTTCCGCGGGCCGCAGGATCCAGGCCTTGAAGCCTCCTCTGCGTCCTGGGGACTTATTCCAGACCTGGAGTTTCYCGGAGCCTTCACAGGGGCAGGGTTGCCTTTGCCTTGAGCCTGTCCGCCTCTTCCAGCGGTGCTGGAAGTGCTGCAGGACATCCTTAAGCGAGTGGTTTCACGTGCGGTGCTTAGGGAGCCCCCATGTTCTGTTCTCTCCTGCTGTAATCCATTCCAATAAAGTTTGATTTGAAAATATGCCTGTGTGAGCTTTGCTGGATTGAGTTTCACGATGAAGTCTTCTTGGAGAGCTGCTGCTTTTCATCATTTTTTTATTTGGTATTTCATAAAATATGATTGTTTGGTGCTTTTTTGTTTGTAATTATTGGTTCCATGGTAAGAAAGGTTTTTATAAATCAAAGGATATCTTACGCCGAGTTTTGCTTAGGTTTGTTGTTTGATTTGATTTTGTTAGCACAGATAAAAACGTTAGTGTTTGAAGCGCCCAAATGACAGTTTGGGATGTGGTGACGGCGGCACTTACTTYGGCCTCCATGGGCTGCAGGAGCATTAGGCTGTGCACAGTCCTGTCTGTTTTACTTTATTGTATTCTGCATGCTGCTGTTTTATATTAACAGTCATTTTTAAAAGCCTGGACTTGTAGCAATAGCCGCTAGTTTGGATGGGCCCGGTAACAGCTGTGACCTCGAAGCGCAGGCCGTGCGAGGGCTGCAGCGCGTCGGCGCCCGCACGGCCGCTCCCCACCGGCCCCCAACTCGGGCAGGTTAAGTGTCCAGCAGAGCAGGGCCGAGGACTGTGGAAAAATGGAAACAGGAGTTGGCTTCCCTGGGAACTGATCTGGGCCTGTCACTTGTGACTCCCTTTCCTGGCTAATGTGCGTAGAAGAGGCGGCGCTGGCTAGAGCGGCGGCCGCGTTTCCCGCTTCGGACCGGCCTCTGTGGGCCTTGGTGTCCCATCTGTGAAACAGGGTAGTGTTCAGCATACCTGTCCCCTGCAATCATAACGCGTGAGATGAGGAGGTACTGCTAGATGGTTAAATGCAATCTGTAAATTACTGGGGATGACGTTTTACCCTGTTATCCCTGTACTGAACAGTTATATTTTAGTCAAACAGAAGCCAGTCTTTCAGGAAATAATCCAATATTGATTCAATGAATATACTGTTTTATTAATGTTACAGTACTAACATTTTGCACCCTCTTTCTTGTTTGCTTC